CTAAGCTCATTATAGTGAACCGCGCTGCCTTGACAATTTCTGCTATTTTGTGCTGAGGGTCCTAGAAAGAAAGGGCGAGGACGTATTTGGAAAAAGGACGTGGCTGAGTAGCCGTGGCTGCTGCGGTGCGCCCATTTGGCAGACGGAGCTGCATTTCTCTCATTGCATCCCTGCCACGCTGCTGTGTTTACATCTTAGAGGAAGAATAAAAAAGAAGAATCCTTTTTTGCGCATGCGGACTGAGCCATTTACCCACGACGTTCGGGAGAAAATTTAAACATGTTTGACGGTTCTCCAGCCACAGCGCTAATGGAGCATTTACATCTGAAAAGGGATTCATGAGCTGTTAAGTACTGACGGAAATTCTCCTATCTCTGGGACTTCTATTAAAAGACATGAAGGAAGCAGCAATGAGTTTCTCTGGAACCATCCGTGGAGTAATAGTCTTTCTTTTGGCTGCGGGTAATGTAAAGTACATTTCATTTAGCAAAATTAAAGAGTTTGCATTTTTTAATATTTAGTCTTCTACTATCACTTATAGGCAATAAGTTTCTGAACTTGGGGGAAACATTTTAGTGCTATATTACTGACATGTTTCTGTATTTAATCTGCATCTGTTTTTTGAAATATTAGACATTATTTATCATAAATAAATAACACTGAATAAAATTTAAAAGTGAGCAACATAAATCTACATTTAAAAAAATGCAATGCTCAAAACGTTAACAAAAAAAAATCCTAATATTTTAGATTTTAAAAATAGTATTTATTTAGGATCACTGGTATTTTTTGTACGTGAGTCATATTTTTTAAAATAATTCTAATATTTATCATATTCATCAGGCCTGTTGGATGGATGATTAATGTTAAATGCATGAGCTTTTTGTATATGTATGTAAACTTATGAACACTTATCAGCTTTAACTAGTGGTTTCTTTTCATTTTATGTAGAAAATTATTATTATTATTATTATTATTATTATTTTATTTTTTCTTTCCCAACACACGCAGTAGAATTGTAAGTTATTTGGATCAAATAAATTGCTGGTAAATAAGTTATCCATCCCCTTTATATGGTAAAAGGATTTTCATTTTGTTTTACATAAAGCTCTCTGAATTATGTTCCAGCTCAGAATCTGTGTTATACGTTCTTTTTTGGAAACTTCAGATCAGATCTGAATAATTTCTTAGCCAGTTTTAGATTATATGTGGATTTCCTATAAAAATTAAGTGCTTAGTATTTTGTAAGTTGTTAGAACTTAATAAACAAGGAATTAATTGCAAATTAGGTGAAAATACTTCTCTTTTTGATCTATTTCCATATTAGATATCTATAAGTAGCCTCTGCACGTTAGATTGTTATTGTGCAATGTAAAAATAGATGAACTTACTGAAATTAGAGTTTTAGACATTCCTAAATTAGGCATGTGAAAACACTACATATGTTTTATCAGGCATCTGTTTATGTGAAATGCTTACATGAATAAAAAACACTTAAAACTAAATAGTGAAACATTTCAAACTTCAGGAATATGTTCATTTAACAAATGTTTTAAACTGAGTAACTGCCAGACACTTGTAAAATCTTCTGAACTAGCAGTTGAAACAGCTAAAGGAAAGTGA